TAAACGGAACAGTAGAGAAAATGCAATCAGAATGACAAAATGAACTAAGTATCGATTCTATATTGTTTGCATTGTGTGGCCGTTTATTGTTTTTGTTTATCTCGTTTTCCTATTACTAATTATATATATATATAATTTTTATATACAGTATTATATATATATATATATATATATATAAACACGTAGGCCTATATCTTGATATATATAAGGGGAGACGGTCAAAACATCTGTGAAAGGGTTTTTTTTTAAATCTGCGCTAACCATAACACAATGAGTGGTTAGTAATCGGTCCGCAAAGTTCGAACCACCAATTAAAACTATGACTGAAGCCTTAATTTGCATACATCACACTATATAAGAGTTGAGATGGGAATGGGTATGGCTTTAGTTAATAGGAGATCATTAGTGAATGTGGAGGAATAATGAAAGACTAGGCTCGAAAGTACAGATATATACCAGGTGTTAAAAACATTTTACATTCTCAATATTGCTACAGTACCTCCCTGTATTTTTGTGTGTTCTTATGGATGCAGTGCATTTTAAATGATGACCACACATACGCATATATATTTATATACAGTAAATAGGTTTTGTGTTGGAGTGAGTAACCATGGGGTATGTGTGCTGGCAGAGTAGTGTAGTTAGTATTGGGTTTTACGAGTGAGCAGTAGTATTAATAGTGTATTTTATATTGGATTTCATATGATTTGCTTGCTGTTTCATTTTGTAGCTGAAAGAACCTGGGTGGAGATTATTATTATTATTGTAGGCCTATATAGAGAGCTACATATACACAATATGTCCATATATCCAGTTAATGTTTCCCACTGCAGTACTTTCCTGTACTCTCTGGACGACCGAAAATAACCTCTGAGGCGTATTAGGCGACCAATTATTTCTTTTTCTCTTATTTGTATTTATTTTTTTTTATCAGGGACAAGAATAAACCACCATACCCCCTTCTAAACCATGCCTGTTATATATTTGGTAGAAAGAGGGAGTGGGGTGAATGTGTGTTGAATAATAATATACTGTATACAACGATATTCCCTGCTGTTGGATCATTATTTTTTCCTTATTTTTAGCAGCTTAATTGATGGATATCGACTTACTAAAATGTCAAATAATTATATCTTCCTTGTAAGGTGTACATCACCCTGACCTGAAAAAAAAGCACAATCTTTCTTTCACTTTTTGTACTCTACTAACTAAACCGAGCCTGCTATCAAATGAATTCCTTCGCATACAGCTGCTGGAGCCTTATATGCGGCGATGTATGCAAAATAGGCTCAAAATTGGACTTCACCCATCACCTTCATTTTCATTGGTCGTTCAATTTCTAATTTCCCACCAAAAGATTTTTCCCTCAAAATCTATGCGGACCGATAGGTAAGCACTCACTATGCTGTACAGTAATTGGTTGTGTACGAACTCGTATAGGTGTAGGCGGATCGATTTAGGCTAAGCCAAAATTTGTCCAGGCCGGACCAATATTATCTAAGGAGGACTGATTTTAGCCGGCCAAAATCAGTCCCCCGGACAAATTTTAGCGGCTAAAATCGGTCCCCCGGACCAATTTTGGCGTGACAGGCCTATAAAAAAATTTTTCCTCCGGAGTCAGACTTTAAAGTTAAAAGTTAGTAATAGTGACCCACTTCTCTCATAGTAAACCCATTGTGTGGTTATTATTGGAATGCTGAAACTATATACACAATTGATATGCCAATAAATAACAATTCAAAGCCACACATTTCCATGGGGATTTACACAGATTGGGCTAGTACTTTAAAGCGATGAGCGCGTTCGAGCGGCGAAAATCATTTGTACGAATTACCACTTGGACGTATTTCACTTGTTTGTCGCCCTCATTCAAATGCTGCGTGACGAAGTTAAGCGCGTTAGGGCTTGCTGCTAAATAATTACTGTGTGGATAAATTATATAGAGTACTATAAGCATAGAGAAAATAGAACAGAAGGAGTAACATCGACCGAAGATCAAAGGTACAGACCTCCTCGCCGCGATCGTAATTATCTCACCGTTACGTAACCTACTTGACAACAAGATAAGCTGAAATCGACAAACGCGCATGCGTCGATAACTCTTACAATCATAACATAGCAACGTATCGCGAGCGAGATCGTCGTGATTGAAATATCGATTTAGGCCTAGGCCCTAAGCCTTAATTCTGTCTCTTATACACATCTTGTTCAATAAGATGTCAATTTGCAAG